CCCCAAAACCCCAAAACCCCGTAAAGAAAGTTAAGAATGACTGTAGCGATCATGTAGATTAATTTAAATATTTTATATTTATCTCAATTGTAGAAAAGTATTTCAATATATGAATAGCATTTTCGGTTACCAGTAAAAGAATTGAAACACAAACTGCTCATTTGTCTTACTTTTGATCATCCAATTCCAAATCAGAGGGCTCAATACTGCTGTAGTTAATGGATTTCTCAATCTCATTATCTTCGTTGCTTTAAACAGTAGGTATCTAAATTATTGACTGTTACTGCTTTTTCTGACTTGATTTAGGTTTCTGGAGTAGCTGATACAACTTAAGATCTGCACTCTTTCTAATCTTTCCATCTGATCTCGCTGGCTTGCTTGATGGGTGACTTATTTGGGATATAAGTTTTTAGGTAGCTTGACTTTGTAAATTCACATTTCGATGCTGATACTTAGGGTACTAGATTGATTTCACAGACTGCTGCTTATATCTATTAGAAGTTTGCTAGGACTTAGGAATGTTCGTGAATGTGCGTTTATGAGCCTCAGGCGATTGGTCTATATTTTAATGACCTAGCGGCTAAAATGTAGACTTGATAATCTTGTTGATTTTAAAATTATCTGCAGTCTTAAGTTCGGGAGACCTTTACTAATTATTTACTACTTGAATAGTCCTAGGCTTAAAATCAAAATACTTGATATTAGCTTCAGGTGATCCTAGGTTGGATAAATGCAAAGAAAGGGAACTATCATTCACCACCGTACTAGTCTTGTTATTGACTTCCTTTAAATTGAATTGACTCTAATTGTTCTGCTTAGGGAAGTAGTAGGACTTGCTTAGCTGCAGTGAATCTTCCTTCAAATCACTACTGTTAACGAATTACTGCAAGAGTGTCCTCCTGTTTTTTTAAAGTTTAATCTCGTTTTATTGCATAATCGCTGAGTTTTTGCTGATTTATTAAGGTAAAAAACTTAATTTCATTGGTAGAATATCTCGCATCATTTGGAAATTTTGAAACCCTACATTAAGCTTAGAAGTTTTACTGTAACTAGTACTAGATTTTTAATCGTTGTTTTTTAAAGTGTCTACACTTTATACATCTTCTAGGCACATATTATTAATGCCGTTTCCAATCTTAGATTCTGTTGCACTCTTACCAGAAGACCTATTGTGTTCTATTTCAAAATCAGGCCTTTTACTAATTCTCAGAAGATTCCCTTAGATCCTCTTAGTCGGCGTATTACGAGAAGAGTCTTAGTCTTTTCATATTGGAGGACGAGGAAGTAGATTTTTAGAATTAGACTTTGATTTACTTTATTTGTGGAAGATCATATTCTCTGCCCATTGTAGCTTCTATAATGGATCAATTGTTCTAGCATCTATAGTTTAATGCAGTCCTAATTTATTTATATGCTGGATGCTAGGATTAATGTTATAGCGATACTCCAGCAGTCTATCTGATATTTGCTAGCTGTTATTATGCTATGTCAAGGACACATCTAAACCCTGCTCGAAATTTATATTAATTTATGCTCTAGATTTTTTGTGATCTATTTATTCCTCTTATTCAGCTTACAAAAAGGGAGATTGACTCATAACATTTTGCTTTGTATTCATGAATAGACTTTAAGTAGCTTAATTTATTTGAATATCTACTTTCTAGTTCTCACTCTTTTCAAAAGTATTCGGGAGCATTTTGGTAATAATTGGAAGCAGATGTGGTTATTTGGTTCTCTTCTTATAGTAAGAATGAGTTGAATGATGTAAGTTTATCAGATTTGAAGTGGACTGAATATTTCTATGAATACCTTTTTAAACTGAAATACTTCTCATGTTAGCATTAGACTAATCCTAAATTTATACATATGTATTTGGCAAGTCATGATATGCTTAAAGCTGTGGGTGAGATTCCATGGTAAAATTGGATTGTAAGAGTTATTACTTTTCATCTAGTAAATTCAATCTATCATTGATATTTAAAGCTCTTGATTTTTTTTCAGTTTTCTTCTTAATGAAACTTAGTGCTTCAAGTATGCCCTTTCCATCACTTCCAAGTCCATTTGCTTTAAATCCATTAAAATCCATATTTGACGGCTTGATAAACTTTATTATACTCTTAGGCTAAGCCTATTAATCTAATAAAGCCTAACTTTTAGTCATATTGACGTGAAGTTTCCTCATTTCTCGCTTGAGTTTCAATCTCTTCGCTTTTAATTATACTACTCTCTGTTTATGAATGTCTTCTGCTGTAGCATCAGAAGCTTAAATATTCTGATTCATAGTGGGGACTGGCGTTTGCTTCAAGTTACTAGGATGCCTTATACTCCCCTCAGTACATACCCTCCGATGTTTTCCCTTTCTTTTGAGTTGGCTCTTATCTGCCATGTTAATGTTTTAACCCACAATCATCTAGAGTAAAGCATCAGACATTATTTTAGCTTTATCGATAAATCGCAAAAAACTATCGAAATAATTAATTACTAAATTAGTCATGCTAATAATAAACATTTAAATTTCGAGTGGTAACTTATAGCATAATTTAAAAGCTAACCCTATTTAATTATTCTGTTAAGAGAAAATAGTTTAATTATTATTATAGGTTAATGAGTTAATATTTCTTATCATAATAATATCTGATAAAACTCCCTACTCAATAGGATGTGGTCAGTACACTATAATTTACTTTATTTTATTTCATCAACATCAAATCTAACTTCATTTAGAATCTCCTCAATTTAGGATGTTTGTGGCTGCGTATCTCAATGCATGGGCTCTCTCTTTGTTCATCTATCTATCGAAGTTTGCAATGCTCTGATTTACATTCATTATAGTACTGAAGTTGCCTGCCAGATTATTCTATTCATAAGGCCTGAAATCTCCCACGCTTTATCTCAAACTTCTGTTTCTTGAGTGAGATCTAGCATCGTTATTTTGGCTCTATGGTTTATCATAGTTAATGACAGGACTTCCCTAAGCCATGTAAACATTTTCAATCGTTTAGTTAAGGTTTCCTAGCTATCTCTTTTAAGGGGAATCAACTGAAGTATTATTTTGGATGTAGCCATTAGTTTTCTTTTACAGTGTTTTGTTTTGAATTCCTGGGATAAGACTGTACTAATTATTGTCATAGGATTTGTAGGCTAAGAGATCAGCTCTGTTTAGCTTCTTTTCTTGGTTTGTCATATTACCGTAACTGCTTATCATCTGGTTTGTTACCTTGATCTGATTATCTAGCATTTCACGATATTGATCTTATCTGCGCTTCTTCTCATTGATTGAGTCTATCATGCTTTAGTTCAGATTTGTTGCGTACTCTTTTTGGACAAGTTATTCCATTGATACATTTTGTCTCTCAAAACTCTTTTGCTGCTCTCTCATCAGAATTTGGTTCTTGACGGTTTCACTTGTCTAGAGTAAGTAGTTTTTCCTCATGTCCTAACCTTAGACATCCTTGCTTTGAATTTGATTTAGAAAGCTGTTGATATCTTGTGAGTTATCATTAGAGAGCTAATAGTTCTTCATATTCGGTGACATATTGATGCTTCTTTGATAGATGTTTTGCTTGATTCTGTCTTCCTCATTCAACTTGCTCATTCTCTATATTCATCATTTTAAGATTAGAACTGGGACTTACATCTCTGAATTCAACCTGGTTTTGCATTTACTTCTAGCCATTATAATCCTGCATTTTCCTTGCTTCCTCTTTTTCTTATTCTTTTTACAGTTATTCAATCTGCCTCTATCTTTACTTTTCTTAATAGTCATCCTGAAACTGCTTGGTAAAGGTTTCCTTCTTGAGTCTCATCAGATCCTCATATTACCTCTATTCCCTTTGAGCCTCATCAGCTATTTTCTGACCCATTTCACGATCAAGATCTCTCTTTATAATAATTGATTTAAAAACATAGGAATACTTACTACTTAGAGAGATCTCTGATGGACTTCGCTCATTTATCTTCGGTTGAGGTTATTGACACTTGCTTTAGTCATGTGCTCCTGATTCTTTAAAAACTACATCTTCTCATCCTACTATCTCTTATACTCTCTTTAAATCTCAAGTTCTCTTTGCTTTAATTGCAGCTATAAATCCTGCTCTGCTTTTTTACGCTCAACATCTTTTTGTAACTCCTCTCTATAAATAATTTGATCCTTGCAATTATCACTTACTAATATGCTTTCTTTTGAAACTTATCTTGCTATTGAGCTAGTTGCTAGCCGAGTTAGAACTATTCAGTTTAATGCTTAATGACTGCACCCCATTCATCAACTTAACCTGAAATCAAATGTTAATTAATACCATTTTTTGACAAATAAAAAAGTCTATTGAGATCTCTTACCATTCTTGACAGTCGGGTAATAACGCTTGTTTTCCTCCAATAGCTTATTAATCTTATCTTCTTTTTCATCTAATGGTTTCTTAAGACCGTATGTTCTTAATTTGAAAGGATCAATCTATAATGAGTTGTGAGTATGCAGATCAGAAATAATGATTAGAATGTCTTACAACTGGGCTTGACATTTTAATGCGGCTGTGATTATAATAAATTAAAAAAGTATAATTAATTTCATTCTTATAAGCTAAAGAGAACAAATAGTGATTAAACTACGAAAACTTGTATATTATAAAATTATACAATGTAACTCTGATAGTTATGCAATTACAAACTAAGAAATATAGAAAGACATTGAGTTGATTATATAGAGATTATTAGAGTATATAAGGAGTGCAATTGAAAAGACATGATTTTGATTAATATTGTTACTAAGATAATTACATTAATAATCCTATCTTTGATGTCCAATACTGACTGTCGATTGCATACTAGCTTATCTAATATTTAAGATTTTTCAAGCAAACTTCATGTTTTGTCCATAGTTTGTGAATAATCTGTTCAACCTCCGAGTAGGAAATTTAATGCCAGATTTTCATCGTTATCATATCTTTCCAGCGCTTCTTTGCAAATGTCTTCAGGGAAACCCATCTCCATCAGTTTTTTAACTTTATCGTCGACTGTCTGCTCCTTGGCAAAGTTCTCAGTCCACATCTTGGCAGTGTATTCATACAATTTCTTATCTGATTTATATTATCTTGCAACTTCTGCATCTTATGGATCATCTATAACACTCAGATTCATGATTACTTGTCCGTAATTGAAATTGTGGTATTTTCGACATAATTTGTAATATATTTGGAAGCAAATTATGGTTATGAGTAGATATTTAAATTGATAACTCTGACTTACCAGGCTCAGGTGCGCATAACAGGGCCTATAATGAGATTAGGGCAGTTCTAATTGTAAGGGCTGGAGTCCACTCGTTTTTCAAGATATCAAGGCAAATTGCTCCAGTTTATGAGCTGATGTTGGGATGCCAGATTTTAGTAATAAATCTCATCTATCATAATTGTAAGAAATAAACACCAGTGAATGCGTACTTTGGGTGGCTTGAAAGGATATTCCCCTGGGATCTCAATGTCTATCTTAAATATTCCTCCCTCAAAGCAGGTATCTTTCTATTAGATTGGTGATTAAATTGCAAAAACTAAATGAAAGAATATTCTTACTGGTCCGAAGATTGTGCCAGTCCAATGTCTTAGATTATCCCCGACAATTGAAGCCTGAACTTACTGGGTAGGCGACTACAAAGTAATTGGATTAGATTGCTATTGATATGAAGTTGTAATTACGTTCTTGGTAGCCTCCTGGAGCTCTTTGAGCTCTTTCATTATTCTCCCATTATCTACCATCTTAACTTTAAAGTTCTCAAATTAATTATAAATTTCTCAAGATTTATTGAAAAATTAAAGTTATTTCAACTGACGGGGTTTTGGGGTTTTGGGGTTTTGGGGTTTTGGGG